CCCCCCGCCGACCCCCGGCCTCCCCAACACCCGCGGCTGTGGGGCTGCGGGGTCGGGCACCTCCAGCCCGGGTGCCACGCTGCGGAGCAGCATCCTGAGGTGAGCTGCTCGCCGGGGCTGGTTCTCGGTCTCCTCCACAGCTTTTGAGTGAGCATCCCAGGCTCCCGGATTTGGGAGCACCAGCCCCGTGCACACATGGGGTAAGGAAGAGGAGGCACCACTCCTGCCCCAAGGGCTGAACATGAGAGATGGATTATAACAAAGCATCACTTCGACCACAGATAGAAAGCAGCCGTCTCCGGTATCCAGCGCTACAGCGTCTGACAGCTTGCAGCCATACCACATAACAGCTCAGGATGGGAAGTGATCTCCTCTTACAAATTACAGGAGCCAATTTACACAGGGCAAACACTTCCCGTTTTGCAGAGACCAGAGCGAGACCGCGAACAGCAGCCGGTCAGGGCCTCCGCTTCCCTCGTAGCTCTCCAGACCTTTCCGGACACGCTGCGGGAGGAACGCCGCACCTCCAGGCACCCGCGGCCAGCCTCCCGCAGCACCCTGCCGCGGCCAGCAACACCGGGCTTGGAAGCGCATCTGTGGGTGCTGGCCCCCGGGCACGCGTTTGGGGTGGTCCAAAGCTCTCGCAGGAACGGCCCTCCGTGCAGAGATTTTTCCCCACTCAATCGTTTCGTCCGTGTCTGGCAGCTAAAGCGATCCTTAGCCTGGGTAAAAATCTGTAAGGCTTTGACAAGGAACACAGGCATCAGTAAGAGCGAGAACATTAGAGGCAAACCTTCGGCTTTCAGCGCGTACAAGTACACGTCCCACAGCATTTGCTTTCCCAAAGTTAAATGCAGATCAGCGTCTCTTCCGTGACACAGCGCCTTGCAGTTGAGCTTTGTGGACTGCACTCTCTTTTCCTAATCCAGGCTTGTTTCGGGAGAAACAGGCAATTTTATCAAATTTCTTTACTGTCCTTTGATACGGGTCTTAGCTGCTAATGACGCTAGGAGGTAAAAAGAAATGGGAATAGAAATACACAACTATGAAGAATTAAAATAGTTAATTTAATTCAGCCAGTTCCAACTAAATTGACAATTCCCTGAAAACAAACCTTGCACGGAAAACACGGAGCACAAATGGTTTTGTCTTGACAGCGGGCGAGAACAGCTAAGTGAAAAGGTGAGCGGCGTATTCCTGCCGTCTCTGAAAACCAAATGGGTGCCGTACATTCCGCAAACGCCCCTTGTTTTTATACCAGACGGGTTGATTTTGGAGGTAGCTATCGGAAAGGCTTCGCAAGGGAAGCGGAGGTCTACGCTCCGATACAAGCAGTAATTTCCGATGTCCCCGCTGAAATGCTTCACAAATGTCTAGGTTTCAAAAAGCATTCACGCTTCCTTAAAGAAAAACCCAGGGCTTTTAAAAATGGCTCAAATTAGCCCAAAAGAAGAACCAAAAAAAAGCTATTCGTTATTTTTAAAAAGTCACAAGCCCGGCTTTCCCAACCGCCTCGACTCGGGCTTCAGGGAGAAGCGATGCACGACGAACGGCCGTGCCGTTAAGGGCCTCGCCAGCCCGCGATGGGGGAGCTAGCTGGGCAGCCCGGCTCCTGAAATACTTGTTCCAAACCAATACCAAAAAAGGTTTGTTTCTAGGTCAAGACCTCAGTACTAAATTTTAACCGGGGGCTGACAGTCAAATCTGAACACAGCTGTAAAATGGATTTGCAACAGAAGCTCGGGCATTCTTTTTCTAATTAGAAAACAAGTCACCGAGCCTTGCGCGTTTAAAGGCGAAAGCTATTTTTGACATAAAAATTAGCGCGTCGTTCCTCTGTCATCCTTCAGTTGCTGCTCTGGAAGCTGCGAGCGCACGATCCAAAGAGAAGGAGTATAAACATGCTGAATTAAATGAAGAGGTAGAAGGGGATCAAGTTTTAAGTTTTATCCTGCCCGACAATTAGAAGAGGACGAGATGTATTTTTACGCTTACTATTTATCCTAAAAGGCGCACTTAAGCACCGAGACAGACCTCAGAGGCATTTGAAAACTCAAAGTGCTTTTAATAGCTGCCTTTTGAAAATGCTGTTATTTTTGAGATGGATAAACTAAGCCGCCAATAGAGCAAGGCAGGAGTTTTCAGAAGGACCCAGCAGTGAAAAACTGTAGCGTACTGCTCGAAAACTCCTCAGCTCCCGCACGGGGACCCAAAGACAAGAAACCCCCAGAGGACTGGATGCTTTTAAAAACCTCAGCGCTCCTTAAATCCAAATTTTCCTTCCTTCTTCCTTTGGTGGGAATCTAACCCTGACAGCCTTGAAAATTAACCCTGAGCAGTTTTCAAAGTATGGCTCAGTGACTGTTTCTAAAATAAAAAGTGAGCGAAGAGCGAGCAGAACTCGGAGGGCTTATCCCCACCCGTAATGCCCCCGACTAATCCCTCGGCAACCCCGGCCCCTTTATGTAACCCGGGATTGCTGCAGCTCAAACAGCTTATTGGGCTTTTGGCATTTTTCTTTAAACCTCTCATGCACAAATGCACACACTTTAAATGTGTTTTTTTTTTTCTTCTGCTACTCTGAAGAAAAAGTTATTGTAAGGGGTGGGGGAAAAAATCTTTTATTTGTGGACAACGGCAAATAGAATTTAACTCAGACGCCGAGGGCAACACGTGCCTCCCTCTCGTGCGTGATCTCGACTGAACACCGTCCCAACTTACAACGCCCAGGTCTAACTCTCCAATGGTGAGACACAAGAGGTCGAATCCCAAGTTTCTCCTCACCCCGAACACCCTCTGGAAGTGGTGGGGTGTTCCAAACAAAAGAAAAAAAAAGCTGCCCCAGGTGAACCACTGACGGAGTTTGGTGGCAGCGGGGTGGCTGTGCCACAACACTTACTGTGCCCCGCCGGCACAGAGCCAGCCGCCCGGAGGCTCTCCTTGCCCAGCGGACCAGTTCTCGTGCCATTGATCTGACGGTTTTGACTTCCCACAGCACAAACCCTTCCAAGGCAAAATGCAACTTGAAGACTTTCAGTCAGTGCTAAACCATTAACCTAATGCTGAATGCTTATGGAAACTTAAGAAGAAAAAAAAATCCCTCCCCCCCCTATTGAACTACTTGCCATCGGAGACCTGAATGGGCTCGGTATAAACCCCGCTCAAGTCAACGGCAGCAATAGGCTTCCCTGGATGCTGGACTAGATCCAGCTTAAAAGTCTCCATGAAATAAACTAGGCTGAGCGCATCAGCGGCACCGAAACTAACTTGGTGTAACCGGAGCATCCGTTCTTCGCATCCACCATTTTCTTAGTCTTAACTTCCCCGTGCTGCGGCGACGCGAGTTGCCGTACGAATCGCTCATCGCTGTCGCGCAACTACACCTCGTCTCCCGACAGCAGCTGGCCTTATTGCCTCGTCACGCTGTGGATGAAGCAGCCGTTACAAGGGAGCATGCATGCCGTATAAACTACTTGACCAGGTAGCTTTCGTTTGTCAAAAAACAGCTTAATGTATTTTGTATGATGGCATTACAAAGTGAAATCAATGTCTGTACTGAGACAGCTGAGGAGCACACCTCGGAACCATTTATACACAGTACAAAGCAAATGTTTACCCAAGTACAAATGAAACAGGTTGACAATTAGCTAATGTAGCTTTGTGGACATAAACCAGGTACATTCGAGCAGAACCAACATAAAATAAAAAGGAAACAGCCCTTTTCCTATCCCACGCTAAGAGCACCGTGGTTAGTGGTTTGGGAAGCCTCTGTCACGTTGAAAAATTTCCTTGCCGGTGTTTAATTGTGTTTATTCTACTGCTACTCTGCTGGGATAAAAATAACATCAGCAGGGCACGCTAGCTGTACAACGGACCCACTGTCAATACTACAGTAATTGACAACATACAATTAAGTCTCACACCTGTTTATTGTAAGTAATTCATAGATAACCACTTCTAGTACACATTTTCATATTGGCTTTTAATTGCTTTTCTTTTTTTTTTAAGCTCAGGGACACCCAAACTTCATCTAAGGGTCATCTCTGCGATTTACCCAGCTCCAGAACGCTACACCTACCATGTCAAACTGGTGCAAGTTGGTGTCACTGCCACGGGTAACGGAGATGGCTTGGAAACTACACAACCCAACATGCAGCGCCCCACCAGCGCGGGCTGCTCTAGGCTACGGGAGGAAGGAGTTTTGCTGGGGTGCATTCGCCTCACATGCCTCGTTTCGGCCGGATCAGCCTAAGTCATGCAGCTGTCTGCACGCAATGCTCTACACAGTGCAAAAACGAAGACCTCTACACATCTGGAGTAAGAACAGTGGTAACAAAGTCATAGCTACATATTCTTCTCTACATTTTTGTTTATTGAGACAAACTAATTAAAAGGCACAAACATAGGGCATATGTTTACATGGACATTATAACAAACATATACATTAAAAGTGTAGGAATGTGTTTCCTTTCTGCTAAACAGAAAGTTCCTAAGCTTTTATATATACAAAAGTTGTACAATTTGATGTCCTAAAGTACAAAAGATCATTTATAAAATTATTTTACACTAAGCTCTTTTTTTTTTTTTTTTTTTAATTTTTTTTTTTTTTTAATTTTTTTTTTTTTTTAATTTTTTTTTTTTTTTAATTTTTTTTTTTTTTTAATTTTTTTTTTTTTTTAATTTTTTTTTTTTTTTAATTTTTTTTTTTTTTTAATTTTTTTTTTTTTTTAATTTTTTTTTTTTTTTAATTTTTTTTTTTTTTTAATTTTTTTTTTTTTTTAATTTTTTTTTTTTTTTAATTTTTTTTTTTTTTTAATTTTTTTTTTTTTTTAATTTTTTTTTTTTTTTAATTTTTTTTTTTTTTTAATTTTTTTTTTTTTTTTTTTAATTTTTCTTTTTGTTTTTGTTTTACTATGTAGTCCAAGCCCCTAGAACAGTTTCACGTAATGATACAGATACCTGTCACCTGAGCCAGCAGCCCGGCAATCACTGCTTGTACTGACACGGCAGGGTAGAAACGGAAGCAGTCCATTTTGACTAGTCAGTCCTGCTAGCACTCTGTGAAAATGCGCACACGCTAATCTCCATAGCTTTCAACTTCATTAAGATAAAAACATCTCAACTGTAATTTTATTTTTTTTTTTTTTTTTAATGTAGAGTCTTGGGTTTAGGGTGGTGGTTTTTTTTTTAAACAAAGTTTTAAAAACGTGAATATGTGACATGATAGTCTAAAAAGTATATCTGTTTCCCTAGATTTTGCTTTCTACTTTATGTACAGATAAACAGGTTAAGAAGTAAAAAGCACATGTAGCTTAAACATGTGTGACCATTTGTGGAGAAGTTCTGGGCTGGATGGTTCAAACCATCACCCCCAGAACTCCCACAAACTGATAGAAATGTGTTAACACAATAGAAGAGTAACGTAAAAATGATGATGTTTGCAAATATTTACAAAGTTGAACAGATTTGCACAACACTTGATTAAGAAATAGGGGAGAAATTAAAAGACGCTCTCTGCTTGTCCTGGAGGGGCATCCTACCTAGTTAGTGGTTAGAATAAAAACTGTATACAATTTAATATAAGACAAAACTTCTAGTGAACAACTAACACGTCTGTCCCCTGCTGTAACACCAGCAGGCTCTGATTGGGAGGCAGAGGGCATAAAAATCATACCCAGTGCCTCCAGAATCTTCCAGCTTAAAGCAATAATTCTTAAGTTTCAAAGCACTCCTTTTGCTCCTAGGTAAGAGTCCCATAGGGGTCTGACTGTTCAGAGACCATGTTTACATACATTTCGAGTCCTCTTCTGTCAGCCATGGCTGTTTCTCACCAAACAATAACAGTTTTTTTTAAAAAAAATGTTGACTACAATGCTATATTCCCTTAGGGTAATATGTTGGGTAATATTTACATCTCCAAATATCAGGTCACAATCCCTATTATATGTTGAAGTTAGAATGATAAGTTATCATATGCTTTGCATATCAGAGCTGGTATCACCTTTCCCATAGGGAATGCTGCCTGAAATTACCATATTCCCAAAGGTAAAATGCATATTTTCTCCAAAATGCATTTTTTTTTTTTAAATGACAACATTGTAATGCATTTACTCATAAAAAAAAAACATCAACACAGACAAAGATTCTACACTAGCTCAGAAACAGTGGACTTAACGACTGGCAAGTTAAAATTAGCCATCCACCCTGTTAAAGATACAGAGGGGTCTTTGCTAGTGTTTAGATTAAAATAATTTTCTAAGTTATAATTTGGGGGATAAAACATAAAACTGTTTTTTAATGACCCTTTTTTTTCTTTTTTTTTTTTTTTTTTTTTTTTAAAACTCTGGCAAATAAGTATCTGCTCTAACTCAGCATCAGTCAGCTAAAAGGTAAAACTTACTTTAAATGAAGTGCTCCAGTGAAACTCAAGTTTGAACCATATGAGCCAAATCAACAGGGGAAGATGCTACTATGGTCTCTGATGGTGCATGTTGCCCCAGTGTCTTAGTCTGAATTTATTATTAACTAAAACAAAACAAAACCAAAACAAAACAAAACAAAAAAAAAACAACAACAAAAAAAAAAAAAAACCCCAACCAAACAAAACCCAAAAAAGAACTGCTGGTAAGGATTCCATTTTAATCCTTTTTAATACTGTTTAGAAATTCTTTACCAGGGAGGAGACGTGGGCAAGGCCTGGGGCAGGAAAGGCATGCTCTCTACTGGTCTCATTGCTATATTTAACGGACCAGCTAACGTCATTGGTGTGGGGAGGTTCATGGGAGATGTTATAGTGACTGGATGCGCTATATTCACTGGAGCGGTTACTGGGGTGGGTAAATTGACTGGTGTGGTGAGCGTTAATGGAGATGTCATGGATAATGGACTTGTTATAGTTACAGGATGCCCTAGGTTCATCGGACTGGATATATTAACTGCACTTGATACATTTACTGGACTTCTCATGCTCATTGCAGCTGCCACTGTGACTGGGTTTGTGATAGTCCCAGAAGCCACAGAGGACGTTATATTGAATGGAGTAGTAAGAGTCACAGGCGTAGTAGCAGCAGTGGAGGTTTGGCACAAGTTAGCAGCTTCTAAAAATGAGACATAAAAAGACAAAAAGTTTTTAACACATAAAAAACCATGGACAAGATTTAAAAAAAAAAAATAACAAAAACAAAACCCAAACAAGAACAGGTACAAATTCTGGAATAATTTTCTTTAGGAATTATTAGTAAGTTAAAACTGTTAACATTCTATAGCCTACAAGAAATACAAACTCTCATGCAGTTCATTTCAATTCAATATTTTTTTTTTCCTGAGAAGTCAAGCAAGGTTGTCTTATAAAGAGGGTTTCGATGTTCATAAAAACAATATCGTACAATCAAAAAAATCCTCCCAAGAGGAACATTATAAATAGAGGAGAGAGTGTACATACCGAATGGTACGTACTCTATAGCCTTCTCAAAGGTGAACTGACATTCTGTGAAGGTTTTAAAAAGTCATTATTAGGGACTGATAAGCAAAGCTCGTTTCAATATTTACCTGCTTATTTCAGTCTTAATTATTGCTACTAAATTGTTCCACTGATCACAATACTTCTGCTTAGCGATTTTCAAGGCTACCCAGTCAGTACATCTTTCAACCCCCATTAGCTCCTCAGCTTTCGCGTCAGCTGCAGCTCCACACCGAGTTGTTCTGTTTTGTGGGGTTTTGGGTTGGTTTGTGATTTGGGTGTTTGGTTTTTTTTTTTTTTTTTTTTTTTTTTGTCAAACAGAAGTGTGGATGGGTAGGCACTTTAAACCATTGTGGCCCGTGAAGTATCCTGCGCCGGGGGGGCTCCGGGAGGGCTGGGCACGGGGGAGAGGGCACCAGCGGTCCGGGGCAGCAGAGGGATCGCTAGGCATCCATCAGCACCACCTGCCGGCTACCCATACTAGAAGGCTCCAAAAACAGAAACGGGCGGGTGGACACGGGTAAAGGGAAGGGATGACTGCTAGAGAAACGGACAAAAATATATGCTAGATCAACGTTACGGCACTTCTAAGTCGTGTCTTATTCCACATTTGTAGGGTAGGACACCAAGCTCAGTCTACACCCACGTTTCAGGAGGTAAGCCAGGAGCAAAGAGTCCACTCTTGCCACTCGGGCAATACAAATGTACCAAGACAGAGTTAACTTTGAAAGCAACATTAGCCCCATTCAAGGGTTACTGTTGATTCTTCAAAGTCCATATCTAGGAGGGG